CACAGCCAAAGCTCTATGAACGATATTGTCTAACTAGTGACGTCACACTTTTAACAACTGGTAACACTGTATTTCAATTCAACAATACGATATGAATGTTGAATTACTTCCAAAATACAGTAAAGCGTATAAACACGACACCAGGTCGATAACGTGCTTACATTGTACATAATACCATTTGTTTTACTTAACTAATTTTGTCGTCTTTAATCAGTTCGGTACTTATACAATGTTAGGATGTGTACCCAGATCTTAAAGTCAGATATGCATCACGACATAATTGTTTTGTCAATAGTATTTACAAAACTTCAAAATTAAAAATATATGTAGATGGATTTGGCATGATCAGCGGAATGAAATTAACATACAAACAAAAACTTCTTCATATTTCTCAAAAAACACCTTTTGAGAATTTGCATTTACGACACGTTTAGCTAATCGGGCATTGAACACGGGGTACCAGGACCACAGCGTCGCCATTTTGAAGTCAATGAAGTCGCGACACTGCTCTTTAAAATGGCGTCGCAACTGAAATAGCTAGTTACTGGAAATCTCTCCAGGACTTGCATTATACTCTGGCTAACATGGCAAAAATGTGTTCAGATTAAACACTGCATCAACACACTAATATTTCATTAAGCAAATAAATAAAACTTGTGATCAAATTTAATAAAGATATTTTCGAAGATAAATAACTATGACAGAGGAAATCGTTGTCTTTCTATTTCGTACAGAATTTCATCTCGATTCCAGTTTTAATCAATGATTTAACATAGTTCAGTAAAGATTAAGTCGTTGCTCACTTGCCATACGCAATTAGAATGGTGAATGAACAGAAAGTCTTGTCACTATTCCTTGATTTAGTAAGATTCTCGAGTTCAATTTTTATCGGCCGGACGGTAGATTGGAAGCCTGCACTGTAATCAGTCAGATGTGTTTATTGACGATTGATGCACGTTTAGTGACACAAGGTCAAGGTTAATGGCAGGGTGGCAATGCACGAGGCGTCATTTACTTCCGAATGGCCCACGGCGCTCATTCGGAAGGATGAATAGGCAGTGAAGTATAGGTTCGATTTGCTGATTTAAAGCAGCTCGATTGTATTACTGAATTAGACACGGCTTTGTCTCCGACGCTATATATTTGCATTTCACGATAAAAGATGTTAAATTTCCATTACAAGGAGTTTGTTAAATTCGACCTTCAATAATAGAAATAATGGTGTTTTTATAAGAACTGGTGCGCATGCATCATCGGATACTGAATCTATGTAAGTGCACGTGGCGGCATTAGGCGTGAAAGAATCTCATCATGTTCCCATGGTGGCTTAATTGTCAAGCAAAATCCAGATGAATAACACCTCACACATAAAAGGAGAATACCGAAGTGTAAATAAAACAGTATTCGAACTCAAAGGCGAGAAAAGTCGGGCAAAATATGAACAAAGGAAAGATTTACATTGAAGCCATTGATAAAGTAAAAGAATGATAAATACAGGTGCCCTGGAAAGGAATCTGCTTCATTGACAATGCTCTTCTGAATATTGGGCCAATCCTAGTAATGTTATGTCCTCTAAGGTAGAACTGGGGTACTGACAGAGAAACCACACTATTTTGTGCATAATCACAAAAACGTCAAAATCATGACGCAAAAGGAATTAAAGTCTATCCCAACGATGTCTTGATAACAACCTTAAGCCTTATGCCGATAGTTTTCATCACTCTGAATTTTTTTAAATGCTCTGTTGTAAGTGTGTCTAACCATGCAGCGTTCAATACTTACCATTGCAATCGTGATATTCTGATCAAGACCGTGAATGTTGAGTCAACTGCAACATTTTAGTTTGGGGAACATAAATGTTACATTTAAGAAAGGGGTCGTTCACGAGCGAAAAATCGAAATAGTCACGAGTCATAAGATCAAGGTGGGAGGCTGATATTGAGAGTCTGTAATGGCCAAGTTCGAGAGGGAAAAGGTGGGACGTGGTAAACAAATCTTATCATTTGAAGACAACACATTGTTGTTAAATCTGAAAGTGAAATTGAAAGACTTGGGAAAAATCTTTTGTTATACCTATGTTCAAAATGTGCACGTTTGGAAACCTTTCCTATAACATCTTAATACTTCCGGATTCTTGATCTATTATACTACACTGTTAGATCGATTAATATCATAAGTCTACTGAATGTATGCTTTGGTGCAGCTATTGCGATGAATCTATCACATTTATCTTGATATTGAATTTATAAATATTAAAATGATTCCGACATATTTGTACGTTTTTAATAACAAATAAATGCGTACTTGTCACAATGATCTGTGCTCTGTCCCTTTGTTACTGGCGTGGAAACGGACATACTCATATTGCCATCAGCCATTATCTACCGTGGATAGGAAATTATCCTCTCTGATAGATATAGCTGTCATATAAATTCACACGTCTCGATCAAAGTGTCCCAATGTAAATAATTTCAGTATCAGCCTGTCAGCTAGACCTAGCAGACGACTCTTGTGTTGTTCGGGACAGCTTCCCGCATTACCACAGCAATCCATCACGACGCGTCCTTTGGTAGCGCGTGAAGCGATTCCTCACTCCGGCGCACACATTGATGGTTGCGCAGGATGAAAGAGTTCGCTAGTGCCAGCAGCTGTAGCCCCTAGACAATGCTGCGCGGGAAAACAAGTGTCCAAATGTCCACGCTATGCGTACGGTCAGTGTGATAAGCTATAATGTCCACTAACGTAAAAACTACCAGACCTACTGGAATGCAGATACGCTCAACCTTTTATTCGTTGTAAAAGAACGTAGCTTTGAGGACAATTTTCTTTCAAATTGAACATGCTTTTATCCAGATTAAATAAAGTTGAACAATATTTCTCATCATCCTGTGTCATTGCAACGACACTCAGTCTATTATGTTACATGTTATAACCATACAATATTGACAATATGCGTCCGTCCCTTAATATTTTTTGACATTGTGTGAAATAAACAAAAAGTTAAGAAGACTAAATCGATAACGATTACACTCTTAAATGACATATGGTACAGTATGGCTGGATGTCATCTAAAAAAACACACACCAAAACTCAGCCTTAACTTGTAATCTTGACCACTGATATGGGTTTCAACGGACCTATGGAAAGTATTTTTTTGGTTGCACCGTACTTTGGAATATTTTAGCGTCTCCAAAATCTGGCAATGGCTTAGAACGGAGTGGTTTAATTTCCGTGCGTCCATCAGCGTGTGATGATCCCTTGTGCTTGATTTTGGTATTTTCCGATGCCTAAAATGTGACTTAACTGTATACACTACATCACAACTAATACAACAATGGGCATGAAAACATGGAAAGTTATAAAACCTTCGATGTCAACATAATTTGATTGACGTGTTATGTATGCAGTGTGTTAATTTTACCAAGAAAACAATTCCATGTTTCGCTTAACATAAAAACCTATAGCGCATGGAATTCAGTTATCGGTGCATAACATAAGTAGGAAGACGGTCCGCCGAAATCCGGATGTTTTGGCGACTGTTTTTGTTATCGTGAAACTTTGTTGTGTTCAATTTTGGCTCATTCAAACCCACCGCTGAATGAACCAAAATAAAACAACACATCAAAAATATGCCAAAGTACGGTATATTAGAAGAAATACGATTTTTCAGCCAGATGAACTATTTCAAAAATCGCCATTGAGTCTATCAAGAAGTATCGGAGCATCAGCACGCCTGGTACAGATGCTCTATGCTGATTTAGTAGACTGCGCGTGCTGGAGAATCTTGTATTGTATCGATCTCAGAACTGTCTCTACGAGACTGTTCCATTTTAATAAAAACAAATCAAATTTATCATTTTCCCGAAATTTATTTCAAAAAATATTTCTTTTGTTAGTCTTTTTTTATTAGATACTGTGCACATAACTAGCCATTTCACAGATTTGATAATTTGCCAATAGAAACTAAGATGACATTAAGTAGGACCTCGATAAACTTCAAAAAAGACACGCCGTATTCCATTGCATTTATACAATATACGTATACAGTTTTTTTATGACAAGCGATCTTAATTTATCTTTCGACAGAGTTTTCCTTACTCTTCGTCATTAAATGACCGTACTTGTTAATAGGACGTTAAACAAAATGACACCAAACCATTACTCTTCGTATTGTATTCACAGGAACTAACAGGTTTGAAAAAAAGATGTAAAAACAATAAACCTAACACAAAAAAAAAAAAATCTACAGCTTAGACAAATTTTCACACCAGCATTCCATTTTTGTCTCGGAATCAGTTCCTTCTATGTCGTATCTTTTTTTTATTCAATTTTTAGTCTTGTTTTACGATTATGAAAATAAATCAAATATGTATTATCGTTGATGGTTTAAACTAATTAAAAAATGTTTCAAACATTGTAACAAAATCAAAAACACTATCATAAATGTGTTGTGTTTACTGATACCGTTACATCTCGGCAAGCAATTGATTTATGTTATTGTAAAAAGGCATCAATGCCTTTTGGACGCAGAATCCGTATATATTTACATCAGCTTTATAGACTGATAAAAATTGTGTTCTCGATAACCCTTCATGTATTTCGTTCATGTTATCAAGAAAGAGTGAAATACTACATTACATTGATCTTGGTTAATTCTTCTCTGCCTTTCCTGTTACATTGATTAAAACGTTGACGAGTGAAGAATATTAATGTGTTTTCAAAAGATACATGAATTTTTGTAATAAATAATTAAGTGACCAAAAATAGATAGTTTATCTGCGAATAATGCAAAACGTGTTTACCAATTCTGAATATTGTGTTTTAAATGAAGGGTAAAATGCTTGTACTAATAATGAATGTTCTGTTGCCAAATAGTGAATAATTTATTGACAAGGATTAAAGAATTAGACGACAAATCCATGATTTATTGATATAATGAATAGTTGCGTTAATATTGTATTCTTTGCTGATTTTCTGACTTTGTCCTTTTTTTATTTCAGCTTACTTCCTGTGCTACATCAACAGTACGGTAAACCCGGTGTGCTATGCGTTGTGTAACGCTAATTTCCGGAAGACTTTTTGGAAGATTCTTACGTGTAGTTTTACAAAAAGAAATACCACACGAAGTCGCACAACAGCTTCGGCTATGTCATTCAACTTCAACAACAGATAGAGGATGTGACGATGTTCGCTAGACATCATTGGATACTATTTGTACCATTGTAGAACTGAAGCATTTCATTGGATACTATTAATGTCATTGTGGAACCGCAACATTTCATTGGATACTATTTATATCATTGAGGAACCGAAACGTTTCATTGGATACTATTTATATCATTGAGGAACGGAAACATTTCATTGGATACTATTTATATCATTGAGGAACCGAAACGTTTCATTGGATACTATTTATATCATTGAGGAACCGAAACATTTCATTGGATACTATTTATATCATTGTGGAGCCGAAGCATTTCATCGGATACTGTTTATATCATTGTGGTAAAGAAATGAACCCTTGTATACTATTTATTTTATTGTGGCTACGAGGAATTTCATTGGAAACTATGTATTCCAAAACAGTTACGAATGTGTTTCATTGGATACTATTTAACCATATTGTGCTGTATTACTTTTGTCGTGTTCCCTGGCAATACCATAGCATCTCATTTCACATTTGTGTATCATTCAGTCGACAGTTTTCGATGTTGAAACCATTTGCACATACCCTGAGTTTGCATTGGTAACCCAACCGAATGTTTACTGGAAGTGAGTAAGGCAGAAGCACGAAAGATTGGAAATGATGACTGAATGCTCCCACCAAAAGTCACGTACTTGTCTACAAGGAGTGCAGTAAAATTGAAATAACCGTATGAATTAATTTCGGAGATCGCGTGTTTCTGTGTGATGGATATAAATATTTGAAATTTAATCGAGATGTCACTTTTTGAAATGGCATTCGCGTTTATTCTGACTCTGAGGAGATTTTCACCATGGATCAAAATAGAAACGGTACGAATGCGACACACAATGCTGCAAACACACGGATATTTGATTGTTTAGACAAAACTATGATATTTGATCACCCGGGTCCGTACTTACGAAACTGGTCTGATGCTGAAGCTCATATCCTGTGCTCAAGCCCAGTCAAGTACCGTTCTCAATGTTTACACATTTTGATTGTAAATTTAAGCAAGTTATTGGAAAGTTTGCTTGAGCACAGAATCCTTGCTTGAGCACTGAAATCATTCGTGAACACGGACCCTGAACTGTAATTGTTTATACAGTGAAGCCATGGAACAAAGCCATAGTATGTAAAAAGAAGGGACACAGAACAGGTTGGAAAAGACTGAAATGTGTGAATACCTCAGATAAATAAACAAAAGAAATCTTAACAAAGTGTAGTTTGAGAACAGCTCGGATGCATAAAGAACAAGAGTGTAAAACATGAATAACACGGGTAATATTCCTCTCATCGCTAGTGTCAATATACAAAGTTTGTGAACAGATTAGTGATAAATGGTACCGTTCGTATTGCACAAAATATGGTAATGAACATTGTATATTTTGCACAAGATGCAGTTTCTGTTCGTATAAAAGGTTAGTACTTGTTCATCCAAAATTCACCTGCAAAAATGTGCTATGGTAAATTGCACATTTCACTCTTTCTAGGTAAAAACAGATTTCCCTGGTCAGATACTTATTCTCCTTCCGTCTTGTGATATCCATCATTAGCCTTTCCATCCCTAGTGAATGTTGAAGAAATCGATTAATGTAAGATGCACCTTCTTTACAAACTGTTGATTGAAATACAAACTGGAAAATTTGATTTTCATGGTTGACATTTTTGCAATACATTAAGAAGAATGAGAAAAAGAGTTAGCGATTCTCAAACGCATTTCATCAGCTGTTATAATCCTATACCATCAATGTACTTTCTTCTATGTATAGTCCTAAAATCCAGTTTTCTAACGGTTTTTCTATATGATCTTATATTAACGTTAGGGGTGCGTTCGAGATGTATTTATTCAGGTTGATCTTGTAAGTAGGAGTCGGAAATTTGGTAGTACAAACGTGGATATGAAGGATCATGTGCTTCTCTCACTAGAAGATCTAAAAATAATCTTAACATATTAATCGGATTTTAGCGCAATGATAAAACGAAATTCCAGGAATTATGCCCTGTTCCGTTCTCTGCAACCCTGACATATATCACGACTTTATTTGAAGTTTTGTACGCTTTATCTTGGGGATGAAACAAGAAAAATAGTTTGATCCTTTTACGTACGTCCAAAGAATCGCGCAGCAGCATAACGTTAAACCTGAACCATATAACCATTAAAATCGAGTGTCACTCCTCTGTAATTTTCATAAGACAGGTATCAGCCTAGCATTTGGTCAGTTATTTATTTACCTGCAATTAATCAATTAGCTTACCGCGTGCCTTCGATTTTGTCATGACATATTGCAAGGGTGCAGAGAACGTTAATGAATTTTGAGGATGTATATAGATATAAAATTGGTTCTCCTAGTCGTTTTTATTCCAAATTTATGTCAAATTGAAAATTTGCTTTGAAAGACGTGTGTAAGGAATGGCGTGCTTGGAAGTGTCGGTGACTAGTGATTGTTGTGAGTTATGTGTCGACTGATGCACAGAAATGTTTGTTACTATGGAAAATAAATCTAAATGTATTATGCACAATATTCCATACGGTGTTATTCTTCATCTATGTACTTCAATACTACGTTAACTATTACTGCCTTGAGGCATTTCGTATGTTCAATTTCTACTTCGTTATCTATCACTAATTGATGTTTATTGGTTGTGGAAGCCATACAAAGTACGCCTTGTCCTGAAAAGTGACGACATGAGGTATATATCACTAAATTCGAGCGTGATCAATTTACATTAAGCTAATTTCCCCGGTAATTGAGTTTTGTGTTCGTCCTAGTCAGTCGCAGAGAGGTTATGGTGGAGACGCTGGCTGTCGGCTATAGCCAATCACAGCAAGAATAAGATACAGAGGTCAACTACCATTGATAGCCAATCAAAACGAGTATAATATACAGACGTCCGCGGCTACCAGTGATAGCCAATCAAAATGAGTGTAAGATACAAATGTCGGATAAAGTTTATAGCCAATCAAATTAAGGATAGCATACAGACATCGTGTGTGTTTCCTACCCCTCCTCAGACAACATCGGATGCCAGCCACAAAAAATCAAAGAGGGGCTGTGATTGAGACGTCGGTTGCCCGGCAGAGCCAATCAAAGAGTGATTGAGACTTAGACAGACGTACTTATAATTACATACTGTAATTCTTTACCCTCCGTTAGATTTTGCTCAAAAGAAACAATTGCGAAGCCCTGCCTAGCAGGAAAAAAACAGTACTATGGCGGAGAGACCAGTCTACGGACGTAATTTGTGATCATGGATGTAAATCGTTTTCGTCTTTCGTCTTTCGTACATTAAAAACAATATATAATGGTTTAAGTATTATTTCACGCTTTTAGCAGAACTCCATTAGAAACAGCTTTACATTTTTTTACGTTCTGAACCACAGAAATATGTTCTTCATATTTCCTTTACAATTTATGGTAGGACACACCGATATGGTATCTGCTTCGCATCCGTATGCTCATGAGACGACCGAATTCCACAGAAGACAACAGCCTGTATTTAACCTTCCAACTTTAGTCGTCCAAGTCGGCCTTAGATGCCAATTAATTTCAATATCTATGTAGTAAATCTGCGCGTGCCAGACATTTTCGTTACGATCAATATAAAGTTGATCCTTTCCAGTCCTCAGTTATATATGGCAGAAGTACAACCATTTCCAATAAACTGTTGCTTTATTTGTTTACTGCAGTTTATTGCATGAACCTACTATAATCAAAGTTAATCAAAGTCCTTTCTGCCCTCCCCTCCTCCTTTTTTTACCACAACGGAATATTGTGTTTGTCTGCAATCCATCTAACCCAGACATTGCAATCTTGATATCAATATCAGAAAAAACGGTATCATAAAGTATATTAAATCAAATTTATTTTCAATTCGAAATTTTTTTCAAATACACTATAATGAATTATAATCAATGTCAGAGAGATCTGTTAGTTCGGGGGAATATTGGCCAAGTCATGTTTTCAGCTGCAGGGAGACGGTGACTGGCGCAGAGACAATGTTCCCCTGACTGTGATGGTGCCAATCAGTAAGGTTCGGAGAATCAGCCGTGAGCTTGCCGGGGGAGTGAGAGTAGGACCGTCCGGTCCCGTGAAATTTTAGGAGAATATACGCTCGTAGGTCAGTCAGTGTAAAGTACACTGTCATTCCAGCCTGTAAATATCCCTCCAGGTATGTAAACCAGTAGCCAATCACAAATCTGTCTGACCTATATACATAGGTCTAATATTGACAAACTTGTACTTTTATACTTAGGCAATAAGTTAATGAGTGAATAGTTACGCAAAACTGTTATAATTGTTTAATTAATATTTAAATATAATAACATTTCCTTGTGAATGTTATTAAACTCCGAACAAATCGGAACAGTGGTAAAATCAATGTTAAGTCGTTAAACGGAGACAAATATATAATGAGATATCGTGTCCTTCCGGAGTCCCCTAGGAAGGGACTGTAATGATCACTGGTGTAAGAATACCCCCGGGCGTCCTTAATGTAGCGACTCGTCGTAGTTCTGGTCACAATAATCAAAACTTGTAAATATATCGCAATGTAAAAACACCCCACACGGGACAAATACCAATCCATTCACCGACAATGCTACAAAAATCAGGACAGATGTTGTATAGAAGTAGGTCTCGCACTGTTGGTATTTTTATGCAAACCTGAATAAGTCCTTATATAACAGTTGAGCATTTTCCCCGACTTGGCTATTCCGCTATACCCACTTTGAGTTGCAACCTTGACAAAAGACGCATCTACAAATATTTTGTCGGTTCTAAACCTTCCTTAGATAATCGAAAGGTAAGATTGTCGAAATTTTGCCCCGGTATATGATTGGTAAAAGGTTATCAAGGAACGTAGATTTCGCTATCATTCGCATTTACCAAAGATTGGTTAAACGATATTGAATTCGGAATATCTACTTCACATGCCGTATATCGCTACATCTGGCTGAAATGATGAACGTCAAAGAAACCCATATAGTATTTTTTTGCCATTTACAAAGATTCCACCCGCATATAAACATAATACCTTAAAAAACCGTTTACATTGTAGTGTCACTCCATCGAATTGGTATTCGGGATCCCTTACCGTACGAAACCTAAAACGACATTACAACACGAATTGTGTAGTATATAGTTAATGTCTATAGCCAAGAACTTGCTCATTTAAGAATGCACCTGAATCACAACCTAGCTTGTGATACCGTTGATATTGTTGGAGGAGATAGATGGGACTACTTTGAGGTGAGGACAGCCAGTCGGTGTGAGAACGCGAATGACAGCAGCTGAGGTAATTTAACAAGAGTCGAGGTCACATGACAACCGTAAAGGTTACATAAGACGATGTTTTCGAATCCTGTAGCTACTTAATTTGGTTTAAAAGTATCACTTCCCGGAAATATTTTTAATATCACATTGTCGTAACACGGTCAGATGACTTACTTGTCCTTCAATAGATCTTCAACTGTTGAGAGGTTTACATTGTCGTACTTCCTGTTTTGCTGTATATTGTCTCGGTTCCATTCCATTGTACATGAATACATGTAGCTGAGTAGATAGTCGATTGAAAATATTCGTTTTTTCTTCTTCATGGAAAGCAGCAAGGACAACGGCATTTTATAGATTCCCGAAAGCTTCAGTAGCACTGTCTCCTCTAAGTATAGTGTTAGTCCCTGTTTCCATAAACCCATGCACTACGGTCTTTGAAATAAATCTTGAAGTGTTTGGTGTCAGTTCCAGGTGATCTGACCTTTATCGCTAAAAAGGTTCGACGGCAAAGCATACATCGTGTGTTGGAGTACATACAGGTGTTGAGTTTAAGTGTTGTTCTGCATGATATCCAGCCTTGAATTTGCAAATTGGTATTTTCGTGTTCTTATTATTCTTTGTTAGTTAATCATGTAGTTAGTTTTTCACATTATATTGCAGTTACGTTGAACTCATGAGTTCCTATGCAAACGCCGCAAAAATTTCACTATGGCTAAAACAACCCTGTATACAGTATTGACGTCTGATTTAACTAGATTGATAATTATCAAAGTGTTACGATTCGTTTTCGTTTTCTACAACCTACCAATACATTGATATAGTTGTGTCTTTGTCTGAGACCTTCCACTGACTGATGATAAGGTAGAGGGGCGTTTTATGTGATTTTTAACTTGTTTTAAATCAGGTATGGTCGCAGATCTTACGCAACAATGTTTTAAAGTTGTTTTGTTTCTTTCTGTCTAAAAATGATCGTGAGATGGTGAGTATGGGAACACCGGCTGTCTGTTAAACAGTTCCGGTGATGTGGTTTAGAAGTCTTCGAGGCTTCGTCCATGACGCTGTTCAAAGGATTGTGTCGTCTGTTTTATGTGATAAGGTATCTGGCTTCCACTGTTTCAAAAAGTACGCTCTCTGTATGTGCTGTCTGAAACATGATTTGATGACTCAGTGTATTCCAGATTACAATATCCTTGGATTGGGTGATGTTGTTACTATGCATGAGCATGCAGTGCAGTCGCATCTGTCACACTTCAACCTTTGAGATATATTAGACTTTATAGCTTTAGTGCCTTAAGACTAAGGCGAAATCAGAAAGTTTGCAGATCATTTAAGAATAAAAGCCCGGATAGAAAACAGATCAAACAGCAAATCAGATGAATTAGACTTAAACAACAACATAAAAAACATCTATCACCTCAATTTCTTCCCCATCCAATAATGGCCGAAGGAAAATCAAGTACCGCCTGATCATCACATAATTCTGTGTATTTTCATGCTAAACGCTCCGACTTCATTTAAATGAGAACAATCACGATATCCGTGATGACAGGAAGTACATGTATGTACCGGTATCTATCAGAAATCTGCCAGCCCAGTGAGAGTGACGTGGTCCCATTTCAGACGTCCCCTAGAAACATTTCTTGGTTACACAAATTAAAATTTAAAGTGACTTCTACCGCCAATCGGCTCCCTCCGGTTGACAATGGTGTATCATGGTACACAACGGCATTGGCTGTTGGCGGTAAACATCGACTGTCTGACAGCGCAGGCGCCAATGAACTTACATCCGCTTCAGTTCATGACAACAAAACAGTATGCCAAGATTTTGAAAAGGAAAAAAATGGATTCAGGAAATTCTTTTGTGGTCTCTTTGCTATCGACAAATGGTTATAACCAGTTAGGAACAGCAAACATAATATGACGTAGGTACCGATAGATGGTTGAATCCAATAAGAATACATTTAGCGTGAATATGCTGATATGCTTCAACCTCGACAATTGAAAAAAAGCATCTCTCCCAGACATTATTTAACAAGGCGTCAACGGAACATATCACCAGCTTTAATCACTATAAGGACGTCTGATAGCATCTTTATATTGTAATTATATTAACAAAATATCCCTTACCATCGTTCAATGAAAACAGTTTCATCGATTAAGCAGCATTGAATATTGCATATCTCATGGACGTAGAGCTCACCACAAATAGTTTGAGTGTATCTGATGCAAATATAGCGGTA